GCATTGATAGGAGGTTTAGGAGAGAATTTAGAAGAGTGGTTTTCAATCAGCGATGACTTTGCTCCCCCAGGGGATGTTGACAATGTCTGGAGATATTTTTTGGTTAATAAAACTGGAGAATGTGGCTCTACTGGTATCTAGTCGGTGGAGGCCACGGATGCTAAACATCCTTCGGGGCATAGGACAGCCCATGACAAAGGATTATCTGGCTCTGAACGTCGGTGGTGGTGCCAAGACTAAGAAACAGACTTTGAGCAATGGTTCTCATCTGCATATGAGACTCACCTGGGGAGTTTTTAAAAGGTCTGATGCCCAGGATGCACCTCCACCAACTAATCAAACTCTCAGGAGTGGGGTCCAGGCACCTGGTGACTCTAATGAACAGCCAAGGTGAGACCCGCTGCTTGAGAGTTGAAAGAGGAACGTATCCACACAAACATCTTGCAGGAACCTTGCTGAAAGCAGGTTCCAATTCTGTGGGCCTGGGCTGAGAGTCTGCATGTCCCACAGGTGACGCCTGGCATGAGTGCCTTGGAGGTCGTCCCTGGGAGCTGGGCTGTGGGCCGCACTGAGATCCAACTGAGGCTGGGGAAAGGTTTCTAACTCATTTCTCTGCCTTTTGAGATGCAAAGATCTCCACCCAAAGCTGTCTCCTCCAGGACTGAGTTGTCTATTTGAAATGTAAACATTCAAGGAGAGAATTGCACCCTTCCCATCCCTGCAGGAGAAGGGCCTAACCTTGGCACCCGCTTCAACGTGCACACCGCCTCCCGTCATTACGATAGCAGAAGTTGTTTCTCCTCTAGACAAGCGTCATTTAGCAAATCCAAGTGACCTAGTCACATGCACAAACCCCCTTCCAGCCCCCCAACGCCTTTCCCTCAGCAGAACCCAGCCTTGCATCGCAGGGAAGTTGATTCCAGTTCACGCTGGGCCCTCTGGCTGACAGCAATAGCATCACTGAATAAAACCTGTCCGCAGCACTTTATTAACTAGTCCCTCGTGGTGTTGATTATTAATGGAGGGAGCCAGAGGAATAACTACCTCAAGCTCAGTCTCATCCACCTTCCCATCTCCTGTCTGGATCCCCATTGGCCAATGGAAGCCGGCCAGCCCCCTGCGCTGAGAGCAAGTGGGGAGGGGTCTCCTCATTGCCATCTGTCAACATCCTGCCGCTGCTTTACCTCGGCGCAGCCCCGGAAAGGCCTCACTTCTGAAGAATGTGCTCCCAGGGACGGATCCCCACTCCCACTCAGCCATGTCTCAGCCACACTGACACCCGGGCTCTCCGGGCGGCTTCTGATGTCAGGAGGAAGGTGCACCGTCCATGCCTCCCTGGCCTGGCACGCTACGCCTTTGAAGCTCTTGTGTCCGGCCCAGGCCCAAATCCCGGCCAAGAGAGGTAGCGTCCAGTCCAGGCCCCAGCTTTCGGTTTCCGGCCGAGTGTGGGAGCTTGAGGCCAAGCTATGACCAAGGACTAGAAATGTTTCCTGATTCTGCAACCCAAGGAAATCCCCGAAAACTCCCAGCAGGAGGTTGGGTGCTCCAGACTTGGGGGTGTGGTCTCCCTCTTGGCACGTCCCCAGCCTGAGGTCACCCAGCCTCCCTGGCTTTCCTACCTCCTTCCTGGGGCTTGGAAACAAGAAAAAGGGGTCCGTGGGGAAGGAAGTGGAAGCTATTTATGAGCTGCCACTCCCCATCGGGTGGAGAACATTTTAAATCCAAAAAGAAAAACAAAACGGTGCCATTCGAAGGCAGAGCAGGGTGCCCCTGGAGGCAGGGGCCTGAGGAGGGACAGGAGGGCTGGAAGCGGCCTGGGTCTTGACCTGGGGGCGGGTTACATGGAACCGCTCAGTGTGTGCAAATGCATGGAGTTGTAGTTTGCACTTTTCTGTATGCAATGTTATGCTCCCATTAATTTTTTAAAAAAACTTAGTAAGGCCCTAACCTGTTTGGCTCAGTGGATAGACCGTCGGCCTGCAGACTGAAAGGTCCCAGGTTCGATTCCGGTCAAGGGCATGTACCTTGGTTGCGGGCACATCCCCAGTGGGGGGTGTGCAGGAGGCAGCTGATCGATGTTTCTCTCTCATCGATGTTTCTAACTCTCTATCTCTCTCCCTTCCTCTCTGTGAAAAATCAATAAAATATATTTTTTAAAAAACGTAGTAAGGCTTTGGAGAACAGTCTGGCACTTCCTCAAAAGGTACAAAAAGTTGGACTAAATGGTGGTGGAAGGAGACTTCACTAGGGTGGTGAGCACACAGTACAATATACAGATGATGTCTTATAGAATTGTACCCCTGAAACCTATATAATTTTATTAACCAATGTCACCCCAATAAAGTCAATAAAAATAAATAAGCAAATTTGAAGAAAAAGACACATAGAGTTACCATCTGACCCAGCAATTACGTTGCTAAATATTTACTGAAGAAAAATGAAATGTACATGAATTTCCATAGCAGCATATTCGTAAGAGCCAAAAGTGGACACAACTCAAATGTCTGTCGTTGGATGAACGGATAAATCAGTTGTGGTCTATCCATGCCATGGAGTATCATTTGGTGATAAAAAAAAGGACAAGTACTGACATGTACACCATGGGCGGACCTTGAACACCTGCTGGTGAAAGAAGCCAGACACAAAGGCCCACGTATTGTGTAACTGCATCTATATGATATGTCCAGAGTGGTACATCCATAGAGACAGAGTGGAGCAGTGGGTGCCTAAGGCGGGGGGAGGGGGAAGTGAGGAGGTTCAGGAATAACGAAGAAGGGGGCTGATGGGATGTCCTAAAGCTGACTGTGGTGCTGGTAGGACAACGCTGTTCATACACTAAAAGCCACTGAGTTGTCCACTTTAAATGGGTGAATTGCCTGGTGTAGGAATTACATCTCAATAGAACTGTTATAACAACGATACCCAAACTAACCGGTTTGGCTCAGTGGATAGAGCGTCGGCCTGCAGACTGAAGGGTCCCAGGTTTGATTCTGGTCAAGGGCATGTACCTCAGTTGTGGGCACATCCCCAGTAGAGGGTGTGCAAGAGGCAGCTGATCGATTTTCCCTCTCATGGATGTTTCTAACTCTCTATTCCTCTCCCTTCCTCTCTGTAAAAATCAATAATTTTTTTTTTTTTAAAAGGATACCCAACATCAGCATGAACACCAGCCGGACACTCCCTCAGAGCTACACCGGCGCTGACCAGGTGACCCCAGCCATCGGGCAAGAACGGGTGGTCTGTTGGCTTCTCAGGCTCAGGAACCCTTGGGAGTGCAAATGGGGTTGAGAATCCTGAATGCCAGGAAAGCTCTTTAGAAAGGAAACCTGAGATGAGGATGTGGGCGGGAACTGTGTTTGGGCAGGGACTACAGGAAGAAAAGGAAGAAGGAAGCCAAAACAGGAGATGAGTAACTGAGACTCAGTCCCAACTTAGGGCAAGGGTGCCGGCATATTTATCCTACACCCCAGGGTTGCTTGCAGAGCCTCACTGCCTTTCCCCCTACCCCACAACCCTCCACCCCCGTCCCCGCCCCCGCATGGGCTGAGAGCCATGGGTGAGGAGTGGCTGGTATCTGCAGTGAGACCCTGGGCCTGTGCTAGACTTGTATGTGCTCAGGGGTGTGGGAGGGCAGCCCTCAGGCGTGTGGAACCCTGGGTAAGCCCTGTCCTGCAGGCCTCAGTTTCCCTTTCTAGAAAGTACACAGAGAAGGTGATGAGGGCAGCGCTTTCCACCTTGGGATACTGTGCCCCTAGGCCAGTGATGGCGAACCTATGACACGTGTGGCAGAGGTGACACGTGAACTCATTTTCTTTGGTTGATTTTTCTTTGTTCAATGGCATTTAAATATATAAAATAAATATCAAAAATATGTCTTTGTTTTACTATGGTTGCAAATATCAAAAAATTTCTATATGTGACACGGCACCAGAGTTAAGTTAGGGTTTTTCAAAATGCTAACATGCCAAGCTCAAAAGGTTCGCCATCACTGCCCTAGGCAGTGGTCGGCAAACTGGGGCTCAGCAAACCACGGCTCGCGAGCCACATGCGGCTCTTTGGCCCCTTCAGTGTGGCTTTTTCACAAAATACCGGCTCTTCCACAAAATACCGACTTCTGTGCATGGGCCACGAAGTTTCGATCGCACTGTACGTGTGCGCCTGCACGTGGTATTTTGTGGAAGAGCCACACTGAAGGGGCCAAAGAGCCGCATGTGGCTCGCGAGCCACGGTTTGCTGACCACGGCCCTAGGGGGACACTGGCAATCTTTCTTTTGTCACAACCAGGCATGGGTGCTCCTGGCGTCTAGTGGGTAGAGGCCAAGGATGCTGGTGAACATTCCACACTCACAACAGAATCCCATGGCAGTGCTACCCAGCCCCAGTGTCCTAGGGCCGGTGGAGAAACCGGGGAGGGGGGGGGGGCTGAGAGTGAGCTCCAGGTTGAACATGCGGAGCCCTGAGGGCACCCAGAGAGGCTGACTTCACGCTAGTCAGGAATGATTGTCCCCTCAGCCGTCCCAGGGCCCTGGGCTCCCAGCTCCAACCCTGCTGTAGACCTTTTCTGCCCCCTACCCCCCAGTGAGCAATGAGGACAGAAGCTAGGACCATCGCTGGGGCCTGCAGCTAGTCCTAGAGGCCCCCACTCCTCAATCTGAGCCCCCGACTTTGAGGCAAGTGCAGGCTTTGGGTCGCACATGCCTGGACTCAAGCCCCAACTCTGCCACTTAGCAACGAGACCGTAGTCGTGTTGCTCAGACTCTGACCGTGGGAGAAGCAGCACAGCTATAACGCAGCACTTGGGGTCCGGAGAGTCTGCCCTTGGCGCTTCTAGTGGGGACTCGTGGAAACTGGTGTTTTGTTGTTGCTAGCATCTTAATCCTGAAGATCCCTCTCTCCATCTGGCAGCATGGCCGGGTTCTGCTCCCCTGGAGCCTGGGTGACTGCCTGTCTCTTTAAGAGGTGCCCCTAGACTTGGGTCATGGAGCCAACATTTTTTTTTCTTCTTTTTTTTGCGATCAGGGTGTTGCAAGTCCTGATCACGCAGAGACGTTAACCACGAATCATCTGCTCTCCAAAAGGAGGAACAGGTAAGGATTATCCTACCTGATGATAGGAGCCAACATTTTTAACTCAAACCATCCCAGCATAAGCTGGCAGTGGATGTATAGCCCCCTGGCCACTTTACATGATGCAGTGCCTGAGAAAAGGCACAGGGACGGCTACTCAGCAAAGGCCAGCGTAGAAGTGTATTTCTCTCTCACGTAACAGCCTGCACATAGGCCATTCAGAATAAAGAACGTGGCTCCCTGGTGCAGAAACCCAGGCCCCCTCTCTGGCTTGGCCTTCCCATCTTCTCTCGTGGCTTCCACCTCACGATCCAAAACGGCTGCTCCAGCTCCTGCCGTCACAATCTCGTTCCACCAGAGGGAAAGGCATAACCCCAAAGCAGCACAACTGGGTCACATGACCACACTAACCACAGGGGAGGCCAGGAAAGGTGGTGTTTAGTTGATGGGGGCATGCGCCACCTGAAAATTCTCAATGTAAGAAGACACTGGGATTAGCTAGTCATTTTTGCCACAGCTCACAGAAGAACAGAGACGATTTTACTTTTATTTGTGGGGCTGGATGAACACGCAGACCAAGTGGTAGAAGCCCCCAAACCCCAGCAGGGGAGTGGGCTGGAGTGAGGCGAAGTGCCTCTGGGGACCCTGCCAGTGTTTTCCTCGTGTCACAAACATGCATCTACGTTGTACATAAGCAGGGCAGGTGCTGGGTGTGTGGAGCAGAAGTGGGAAAGGCCTGGTTGTTTCCAGCCCACACGATTCTCAACTACTTGCGTGCCTTTATTCATTCAACCTGCTTACTACTCTGTATACTATTACAATGCCAGGCTGGGTGAGGATTCTGAGAAGGAAACAAACCCAATCTGACCCCGAAAGACTCTCACAATGAATCTGCAGCGCCCACAAGCCACCTGGGAAAATCCTTCTGTTAAAATCGTGCCTGCTGGGAGGTTGACAGGGGAAATGCCTCGCCTGATGCCTAGACCCACCCCACATCCACACAGTCCGGCTGTGGCCCTGCCCCTTTTCAGACATCCCAGGCCTGGAGCAGGCACCCCCGGGTCTCTCCTAGGGGTAGTGGCGACCCCTCCCCTAAAAGTGAACAGGACTATGGGTGTGGCTGACAGAGTGGCATGTCATGCAGGTGGCTTGGGGAACACCCAGGGTGACGGACTCCTTCTGGTTTGCTGGGACAGCCCTGGTTTTAGGACCACAAGCCCTGAATCCAGGGACCCACTCAGTCTGGTTAAACTGGATTGTGGGTCACCCTGGAACTCAGACCCTGTATGTTTCCTTGCTCCCACCTCTCCCCAAACCAGGGCTTCTCAATCCTGGCTGCACGCTGGCATCACCTGGAAGAACATTTAAAATGCTGCTGGGGTCCCACCTTGGCCCACTTCACTCAGAGCCTCAGGGGCGGGACACGGGTTTTGTGAGAAAACCTCCAGGGGATGCTAACATGCAGCCAGGTTGAGAGCTCCTGGGCCCGGAGAGAGCCGCCGTGCCAAGGTCAGCTGGGGATGGTTTTTTGTCTCCTGTTTGTTGTTAATCCTTATCGAGGATATTTTTCCATTGATCTTTTAGCGTGGGAGAGAGAGGGAAAGACAGACACATCCATGTGAGAGAAACACATCGACCGGTTGCCTCCCACATGCAACCTGACCAGGGCCGGGGCCGGGGAGGAGCCTGCAACCGAGGTACGTGCCCTTGACCAGAATCGAACCTGGGACCCTTTAGTCCGCAGGCCAACGCTCTATCCACTGAGCCAAACCGGCTCGGGCGATATTTTGTCTTCCAGGTGAGGTGGGAGCTGAGCAGGAGTGAACAAGGACCACTGGACTGGGTTCATTTGGGCTCACTGATCAGTTACGTATAGAGGGTCTATCATGGCACCGGCACTGTCCTGGGGCTGGAGATATGGGGTGGAGGGAAGAGGACAGTGAGGACCTGCCTTCATTCTGGTGGGGGATACTTTCAGGAGGAGATGCTCAATCGAGAGATGTGCAGAGCTGCTCAGATAGGGCATTTGTTTCGCTGGGCTGCCAAGACAACAGGAACTCATTCTCCAATAGTTCTGGAGGTCAGGGCTCCAAAACCAAGGGGTCAGATGGGCTGGTTCCTCAGGGGGCTCTGAGACAGAATCTGTCCCATGCCTGTCCTGACTTCTGGGGCCACCATCAGTCCTTGACATTCCTTGGCTTGCAGATGCATCATTCCAACCTCTGCCTCTGTCTGCACATGGCGTTCTCCCGTGTCCTGGCATGGCCTCCCTCCCTCCGTCTGTGTCCTCTCTTTACAAGGACACCAGTCGCTAGATCCTGAATTAAACCTGCAAAAAAACGTTACTCCAAATGAGGTCCCATCCTCAGGTTCCAGGGGTAAGATGTGGACACAGCTTTTCTGGGGCTACAATCAACCCCCTACAGACAGGGTGAGCAGGGAAGGACTCTGAAGGCGAGACTCCATGTGAATCTTTCCAGAAGCCAACTCTATGGATGTGAGGAGACTGCAGAAAGTGATCAGGGCGGGAATAGAATACTGGGGGCCAGCTATAATAATAACAGTAATCGTGCTCTGTTAACCGTGATTGTTTTGTTCTGATGAAAGAAGGCACATTCTAACCTGGCTGGGAGTTGCACATGGGACCTGGGAGCTCACCTAGAAATGAGGCCCATCCTCCCCATCTGGGAGCTGCCTATTCTCATGGAACGTTAGCAAGCTTGGTGCAGAAACCAGAGCTGCCAGCCCTTTGAGGACCCCCACCCTTTGCATACCCACAGGCCTTTGCAAATCTCCAGCCCCCATTACCTGTAAACTGCCCATTTGGCATACCCTTTTGCCTACTTCCCCATGTCATCTTTGTCCTTTTACCCAATATAGGCAGCTGGCTTTTGATGGGGGCGGGGGCACAGGGAGGAGGAGGGGAGCACAGAGCAGATTTTTGTGAGTGACCTGCTGCTCTCCCATCCTGCCGGCATTATTGGAATAAACATTCATATATGACTCAACCCTGTCTCTGCCTAATTGGCTCAAGTGGTGACAGGCAGCTCAGACCCCTTGGTTGTCTAGTTACATAATTTCTGTTGGGAGACAGGGAACGGGGGGAGCAAATTTGGGGTGTGTTATTGAGCAGATGACCACTGTGGGCAACTGGGGCTCACTTCCACCGGGGACCTCTGGAAGTTTCCATAGAGCAGGAGCCTCGGAGCTACCTGGGGGACGAGGGTGCTAAGCAGTCAGACGCCAACTCCTGAAAGTCATCGTGGGAGGAGCTCCCGGGGCTTCCCCACCCCTTTGCTGGGCTACCAGGTTCTGGAGGACAGAGCAAGCCCCCGGCAGAGAATGGAGGGTGTGTGCGGGCGTGGGAACCAGGTGTGCTGAGAGGTCCGGGTGGAACACAGCTGCGGCCGCCCCAGGAAGAACCGCTTGAGCTGCCATCTGAGGGATATGGATATAGAGGAGCCGGCTACGTGTGCCCAGCATGCCAGGGCATGTGGAAACAGCGGGGCAGAGTCCCCGAGGCAGGAGCCAGTGCACTTGCTCCAAGAACAGCAAGGATGGCAGCGTGGCTGCAGTGGGTGGGGTGGGCCATGGCGGGAGGATGGGGGAAGTCTCTGTGGGTGCAGAGCCGGGATTGGATGTGGGACCAGGAGGCCTTTGGAGAGCTGCAAGCAGGAGTCGACAGGATCTGGTCACTGTTTGGTCCGGAGGAAGCCGGCAGGGAGGGAGGCCAGGCCAAGTGGAGAAACCGTGTGTGAAGGGCCTGGCTCCACCTCTCCCAGCTGCATGCCTCGCCCTTGCCTTTCCGGGCCTTCACTTCCCACTTGAAAAGTGAGGCCAACAAGCCTGGCCTGTTTCAGGAAGGTGTTGGTGACTGCTGAGGTCACATGAGCAAGAATCCCCCCTTGCTCAGGTGCGGGCCCCGTGGCAGTGGCTGGAGCAGAGGGGGGCGTCTTGGAGCCCTGCAGCCCCCCAGGCAGAAGTGGCCTTGCCTGGACCAATGCAGTTCAGATTGGGGCCTCCACTGTGTGGCTGATTTTTGCCCAAAGTGAACTCAGCTAAAATTATGTATGATGAATGCCATGTCCTGGAGGCATGAAGACCGAGCTAGTCTGAGAAATGAGGACTGAGTCTTCAGGGTCCAAAGAGCCCTGGGTGGCTGGTCGTCTTGTTCAGGGCTCTGAGAGGCAGGAGCGGCAGCTGATATTCTCTGTAACTGGCAACACGGCGCTGACTCAGCACTCACATCTGAACGTGGAGACCGGTGAACTGAATTCTGAGAGAGCTGTGTACCTGTCAGTTTTCCCTGACAGAATCCAAGTGGTGATGTTGCAGTTAATGCCCCAACTCTCAATATGCCCAGACCATCCGTTTGGCTACCAGGAGGTCCAGCCCTGTCCATGGTCCTCCCCAACTACATCCAAGAACCTCAAGGGTAGCTACAGGATACCCATTTACTAGTATCCAGGGTTTACCCTGTGTTGGGTACTGTGCAAAGCATTTTATATGGGAACTAGAGGCCTGGTGCACAAAATTCATGCATGGGGTGGGGGTTGTCTCCTCAGCCCAGCCCGCATCCTCTCCAATCCAGGATCCCTCTCACAATCCGGGACTGCTGGCTCCTAACTGCTCACCTGCCTGCTTGCCTGATTGCCCCCAACTGCCCCCCCCCACCAGCCTGGTTCCCCTAACTGCCCCCCACCCCTGCCAGCCTAGTCGCCCCACGCAGCCTGCAGTTCAGTCGTTTGGTCATCCCTCACTAACCCCCGCTGCCGGCCTGGTCACTTCATGTAGCCTGTTCGGTCGTTACTGTTACTGTGACGGTGTCCTGGACAATTTGCATATTCCTCTATTATTAGTATACTTGGTTATCATTCTCATTTTAGAGTGAAGAAAATGGAACCTCAGAGACATTGATTGTGGAAATCAATAGAAAATGCTGGTAGAAACCATTTTTTTCATCTTTTATAAAAATAGGATTATAGTCAAGCACACAACTAGACTACATTTCCCAGCCTCCCTTGCATTTGGGTGTGGTCATGTG